ACTTCCACAGCTTCCCCTTCTATTTGCCAAGGAGTGATGGGGCCGGATGCCATGATCTTAGTTTTTTTGATGTTGAGCTTCAAGCCCACTTTTGCGCTCTCCTCTTTTACTCTGAGCAGGAGGCTCTTTAGGTCCTCTTCACTTTCTGCCATTAGAGTGGTATCGTCTGCATATCTGAGGTTGTTGATCTTTTCCCCAGCAATCTTAATTCCCGCTTGTGATTCATCCAGGCCAGCATTTCGCATGATGTACTCTGCATATATATTAAATAAGCAAGGTGACAATATACATCCTTGTTGTACTCCTTTTCCTATGCTGAACCAATCAGTTGTTCCGTATCCGGTTCTAACTGTCGCTTCTTGGCCCTTATACAGGTTTCTCAAGAGACATGTGAGGTGGTCTGGTACTCCCATCTCTTTAAGGACCTGCCATAGTTTGTTGTGATCCACACAGTCAAAGGCTTTAGCATAGTCAATGAAGCAGAAGTAGATGTTTTTCTGGTACTCTCTTGCTTTCTCCATTTGAATCTGATTCAAAGCAATTAGAAAACTGCATAATGGAATGGTTATCAGAGCAAGGAATAAAATTAAATGAGGAACAGATAGAACGCGCACATAGGCTGCAGGGCAAAAGGAGAAGAGGGGAACCGTGCACTGTGATAATTAAGTTTGCAAGGGAGAAACTGCAACAACAAATATTCCTTGCTCTGAAGAAAAATAAAGATCTGAAATATAAAGAGATGTATACCTGCTTTTTTTGCATGCCTCTCTTTAAAAAAAACCTTTCAGCTTATCTTTTATGATCACAAATGCTTGTACATTAATTTTGCAGGAGTTACTATTTGAAATGAAAAACTGGGGGTTAAACCCGACAGTTGATGCAAAGGACAGTAACTGTTTGCCAAAGCCACCAAATTACAGTCATGCCGTTGCAAGGATTGCTAAACATGTTAATTCAATTTTCTGGAAATAGGTTTCAAAACAGAGGAGTTCACAAATCTAGGACTTCATCAAGATGCAAAGTGCAATCTGATTCTCATTAAAGGTCAACAAAAAACACCAACACATTTTTACATTTTATATTAAGAGTGTTATCACAAGTGTCCGGGGGTGGGGTGGGGAATCGTTTATCTGCAGAAACACATTAGTTGAGCCATTCATTTTCTGGACTCCGATGCGCAGCAAGTTTCTGCTGTCCATACTGTGCTTATGTACACTGCATGTGTGGGCAACTGTATTACAGGCACATTATGTTGCCTGCATCATAGCTAGGTGTGATATTAGCACAGGGGTGTCAATCTATTCTACTTTACATGCAATGTTCAAAGTGGGAGCAGGAGGAATCTTTAGTAGAGGTGTAGATTAGACTTAAGTAACCACAAGATGTACCTGTAACTGCTAACAGCCATAGGTTAAGATCAAGCCTTGTCTAGTTTGCATTGTGTCATCTATGTAAACTAGGTTTTAAATAAACAAATATACCTTTCATTGTGCTCTGAATCGCTCACCCCTCGAAAAACAATATTAATGTTTCAAAGTACGGTTTCCAGGACTTTGGTTTTTTTAAAATAGCTTTTAATAAATTATTATAATCATTATAAACTCTATATATGTACTGTTTTGTAGATACCAGCCTACTCAGTAGGCCAGGACTAAAAAAATTGTGTAAATAATTTTCCACAATACTGTCCACATTAAATGTATATCACAGAGGGGAGACAATTTAACAATCAAATACTAAACTCTTATTATAATATGATTCATCAGGCTGGGGACAAAATGTTTGGGTTATGCTCCAAGTCCACTGCAATACAATTTATTGTTTCAAATAAATGTAATAGATAACTCTAGTTGTCTAAAATTCACATGCAGTGTAACAACCAGTCAGAAATGAACCTCATGTTGTAAAGCTCGGGGGGGGGGGGATGGAATGAGCACTTCTGTAATTGCACTAGAAAGGACTTTCTGGAATTTTAGCAAAATGCAAGGTTTTATTATTACTTCAGTCTTACAAGGACATCAGTAGTTTACTAGTTGACCCCTACAAACATCTGTATCGGGGTGAATCAGCAGCATTGCTGTTGTTAGACCTGTCAGCGGTGATCGACACGGTTGACCATCACCTAGTGATCCACTGCCTGCTAACACTGGGATTCAGGGGTCTGCCTTGCAATGGCTTTTCTCCTTCCTTCAGGGTCGGGGACAAAGGGTGGCATTAGGGGAACAGCTGTCCTGAAGGCACCCACTGATTTGCGGAGTGCCCCAAGGGGCAGAGCTTTCCCCAACATTATTCAGCATCTATATGCACTTCCTTGCCCAGATTGCTGGGAGGGATGGGCTGGGATGTCACCAGTATGCAAATGACACCCAACTCTATCTGGACCTGCCACTACAAGCTGTGGCTGGATGGCTTAGACTGAGCCAACTGAAATGGAATCCGACTATGCCAGGTTGGCCACAACCAGGACCAGGGCCTTTTCAGTGGCAGCTCCACACTGGTGGAACGAGCTCCCAGAAGACATTAGGGCCCTGCAGGACCTTTTACAGTTCCACAGGGCCTGCAAGATGGAGCTCTTCCGCTAGGCTTTCAATCGAGGAGCCACACCTAATACTGAACATTGGCTGAGGCCCTGTCCCCTGGAACCACCATTGGCAGCCTGTGCCCCGCCAGCATAAATGGATTGAGATAATAGCTTTAACATCAACATTGACTGTATTCCCATTATGACTGATCTGTTACTATGTTCCGCTATTGCTATGCAATATTATTACCGTTTACTAGCACTTTATGATTGGTTTTACAATTGCTCTGTTTTATGTGTTTTAAGTTTTTATGTAAGCTGCCCTGAGCCTGCTTCGGCGGGGAAGGTGGGGTATAAATCCAATAAATAAGCATAGCTGCATTAGTCATTTGTTACTTTTAAAGAGACAAGACATTTCTTGCAAATAGCTATTTACAAGATAATTTGGGGCAAAAAAAGAATCCAAGCAATAATAGATGTGCCTAAATATCAGAATGTCAGTTTTGAAGACAAGCAAGGTTAGGCTTCCAAGAACATTTCAAGCAAATATATTAGGGTTTTCCAGTAAAGTTACCATCATCCCAGATGGGTTAGCAATACTGTCATGTCAAAAGTGCTGCTTTCTAGACAAATCACAGACCAAGACTGATTACCTCACCAATAAAGAACTGAGGACTTTCAGCACAAAATGACTGGGAGTCTTCACTAGTCACATCAAACTTTTGTTTTTGCTTACCATAAGTTTGTTGGCTTACTGTAAACTTGCAATGCCTACAGAGTTGAAATACACAAGTACGTTTTTACACAAGGTGTATATAGGTAAGAAACATACTCGATTGTTCAAAACATTACTCATTTGCTAAGAAATATACCCATTTGTTTACCAAAAACCAAACCTAACCATATATACTGGTATTTTTTATATATATAAAAAACTTTTCTAAGTTCTCCTTCCTGGCAAGCAATCTGTTTACAGTTTACATCAGCTTTCTAACATCTTGGGTTTGAAATCTGGATATTCTGACAGACTCATTTCTACTGTCCTGAAATGTGAATTTACCTGGAACTGGGCTTAGGGTACTAAATATACTCTAGTACAGTTTGTCTCATGTTCCTACCTAGCATATAGGTCCCACTTTGATAGTAAAGTCATTCAATGTTTTGTACCTATTTTTTCTTAAAGTTCTAAAAAAAATTATAGGTGAACTTTCTAGAAGGATATATCTTTCTGAAGCTTGCATAACTATTAATTATATTATTGTTTAATGCCTCATTTTAGATACTACGTTGCGGTGTATTTCACAGATCAAGCTAGGCTAGTTTTCATCTTTAAACAAAAATTATATTGTTAATACTACATAGAAAATTTGGCTGTGATTTCAATGCTCAAGAGTTATCACATTTCAACATGTTTCACACCTTTTCAGATCATCTTAATAACAGACAGAAGGCTGAGCTCAGATCTGAGTATGAAAACATAGAATGCTCCTGACTGCACACACCAATTTTGACTCCAGGTCAGATACTATATCACAGTGGGGTGCATCCTACCAGCTTGCTGCTCCCACAAGAAGATAGTCAATTTTACACAATTCCCAGTGCATTTTACATCCCCTGACACTCACCATAGGATTTCAAGGGTTTCAGAGGACTGAAGGAAGAAAACTCTACAAGCATAAAGCTCATAGGGTTCAATCCACTATGTTTTGCCTTCTCCCATTCCACTTTGAAAATCACTAAGAGAAAAGGTGGATTTAACCCAGTTTCCCATTTTGATACTCTAATATTTTTATATGCAAACTGCATACGATAATGAAGCCCACTGGTTTGCAATTTGTAAAGTGCCATGCTTAGCAGAGTTATACCTTTCTAAACCTATAGACTTCAATGAACTTAGAAGGGTGCAACTCGACTTAAGATGGCACTTCAAAACTTTTATACAGCTTTAAAGTGTTTAATCCAAAACCTTTGATCATGCAGCCCAAATGGATTTCACATAGCTTTCACTATAATATGCAAGAAGATCACTTACTTAAGAGCTACGGTTGCAATTCACATGTAAGGACATTTATGTTGGTAAAACATGCAAGTTTACTGCTCTAAGGGCCCAGCAGCAACCACATAATAATGCTATATATTTTGTCATTTATGGTGCTTAACCTCAGAAGTCAGGCAAGGCAGGCTTCAACTCCATGCACTTGATAAATGGTCATGATTCATGACTAAGAGATTGTACACACAGGTTTTATTATAACTGTATTATATTTTAAATTCTATTTTTAAATTTTATATACATTTTCTATAACTGAAATTTTAATCAAAAATCATCTGATTAAATTTGGGGGGACCATCCTACTTTTACCCACACAGACATCCAGTTTCTAAGGTGGCTTGCAGTGCATTCAGAGTTTATGTGGAAAGATTTTGTGAAGCCTCCCCACTCCCCAAACTCAACAGCCCTTAACTGAAACAGACCTACCATGCCAGCCACAAACCACTTCTTAAGATACATCTCATTAATTCCTTGCCACTCTGTATTCAACCCTGTCTGTTGTAATGTCTCTCTCAACTTGGGTACATCTATAAAAAAAGAAAATCAAAGAAATAAAACAGATGAGAAATATTTGTTGTGAGGAGAAAATGGAACAAAAGGGTTGTTGTAAGGAGAAAAATGAAAGAATGCTGTAAACTACTTTGGGTCCATGCTGTGGAGAAAGGCAGGTTATAAATGTAGCAAATAAATAAATAATAAATACAGCTGAAGATGGTGGACAGATAAAAGATAGGTCAGTTGGAGGTAGGAAAGAGAGAAGGAAGCAGGGAAAGGGGAGGAAAGTAGTGGTGGAAAATTGAAATGCCCATCATAACTCCTTGCAGGTCCCCCACTTATCTAAAAAAGAGAACATTCTAAAGTACTTTTGGGTTCTCCACCACACAACTAGGCCTCACCCAGCAGCTGGCATCATGCAACTCAACCACACTTTTCCCAGAGGAAGGCTGCCAGGGTAGGGAAGAAGGGAAAACTGAAGACCAGAGGAGGGAGGGGAGATAAAGGCAGACTGGCTCACAGGTAGGAAAGAGGGGAGGAGGCAGGAAAAGGGGAGAGGCTTTCAGGGAAGAGAAAGAGAAAATGGGGGGAATGAGATGCCCTCCATAAGCCCTTGCACGTCCCCCACTTGTTGAACTGTAATCTTTCAGTAGCACAGGAAATCTGCTCAGAATCATCAACGCTATCTGAGCTATTATCCACAACAAGAGGTACACTAGTCACAGTAATCCATGTGCTAATCACCTCCAGATTAGATTACTGCAATGTGCTGTACATGGGGCTACCTTTGAAAAAAGCTTGAAAGCTTTAACTGGTTCAGAACACACCTGCTAATTTACTAACTGGCATTAGTTAAAACATATCATCCTAGTAGTAAGAGACCTTTCTTGGTTACAAGGTAGCTTGTGAGCCCAAATCAAAGGGCTGGGTTTGAACAAAAAAAATAACAAGAGTTCTTCCCGCAGGATCAGCTGCTTCGTGAGCTCTTTTGGCCAGTCTGGTTTAAAGGGACCCCCCCAAGAAGGGGGACCCGCGATACTCGCGGGGGTGGGGGGGGAGAAGAAGCTCCACCAAAGGAGAAGGAAGCAGCTGCAGGTGAGCCTTCTCCCCTGCCCCCCCAGCACCGGCACCCACAGTGAGGCCTGAGCCTCTCCAAGCCTTCTCCCTCCTCCCCCCCCAGCACCGGCGGCGAGAGGCCTGAACTCGGCCTGCCGAACTTTCTCCCCCCTTTACCCCCAGCGGTGGCAGCAGCAGCGGTGGGAGGCCTGAGCTCCGCCCACCAGACTTTCCCCCCCGCGCGGAGGCGAGGGCTG